CCCGGGCACACCCCTCCGACCCCGGAGACGCCGTGTCCACCGTCTGAGGAAGGAGCGGATGGGGACATCACTGTGGAAAGGCACTGTGCTCCGTTAACGGGAACCGTGAACCATCCCGAGAAGGCACGGGGCTCGAGAACGCGGATGAGCACTGGGCCGAGGCGGGCGGGGCGGGAGAGGAGCGCTCCGGGCGCCAGGCAACCTTCGGCGATCGGGGATCAATCCGACCCTGGACTGGCGGGGGCACACGGCTCTGTAAATGCACCGAGGCCTGGAGCTGCTCGCTTGGAACAAGTGAACTTGAGGGTTTGCCAAGGACATGTCACTAAAGCTGTGGAAGAAAAAGCCCCGCTTGCCAATCAGAAGGATGAGCACTAGCCCTGGCCGGGGCGGCTCAGTGGTCGGTGTGTCCCCTGCGCCAAAAGGTCGCTGGTTTGATTCCAGGTCAGGGCACATGCCCGGGTTGTGTGCTCGATGCCCAGTAGGGGGCGAGCAAGAGGCCGCTGATGGATGATGTTTCTCTCTCTCTCCCTCTCCCTTCCTCTCTCTAAAAATCAGTAAAAATATTATTAAAAAGAAGAAGGAGGAGGAGGAGGAGGAGGAGGAGAAGGAGGAGGAGGAGGAGGAGGAGGAGGAGGAGGGCTAATTAGTGCCACTAGTGGTAACATCAGCCGCCACATTTATTGGGCTCGTTTCAAGGGCCGTCCAGCTCAGCCAGCTCCCTGCTTCTTCCCCTCGAGGTGGTGTCCGTCCCCTGGGGACATGGACGTTCGCTTGGTGGCTTAGAGGACACGCTGGACTTAGACTCCCAGATCCACCAAGTTAATTAACCTCCGTTGGGTTTTTTTTTTAATATATATTTTTATGGTTGATAGTATTACAGATGTCTCTTATCTCTCCCCCCTCCCCCCTCTCCCCTCCCTCCAGGTCTTCACCACCCTGCTGCCCGTGTCTGTGGGCTGTGCATGTAAGTATAGAAGTTCTCTGGTTGATCTCTTCTCGTCCCCCCCCGACCCCACACCGAGGTATGTCCATCTGTGCCATGCCTCCCTGCTTCGGGTCTTATTTTGTGGGTCAATTCATTTTGGTCATTAGATTCCACAAATAAGTGAGGTCATGGGATATCTGTCTTTCTCAGATTGGCTTATTCCACTGAGCACAGTATTTCCCAGGTCCCTCCATGCTGTCCCAAAGGGTAAGAGATCCCTCTTTTTCACAGCTGCATAGTATTCCACAGTGTAAGTGCTCACAGCTTTTTATCCATCATCTACTGATGGGCACTCGGGCTGCTTCCAAACCTTCGCTATTGTAAATAACGCTGCTATGGACATAGGGGTGCATATATTCTTTCTGGTTGGTGTTTTGAGGTGTTTTTGTTTGTTTGTGTGTGTTTTTTTGGTTAATCCTCGCCCGAGGATATTTTTCCATTGGTTTTTAGGGAGAGTGGAAGAGAGAGGGAGAGACGGGGAGAAACATGGATGTGAGAGAAACACACCGATTGGTTGCCTCCCACACGAGCCCTGACCAGGTCCCGGGCCGGGAAGGAGCCTCAACCAAGGTACGTGCCCTTAACCGGAATCGAACCCGGGACCCTTTGGTCCACAGGCCAAAGCTCTATCCACTGAGCCAAACCGGCTAGGGCAGTGCTTTGAGGGTTTTAGGATGCATTCCCAGAAGTGGGATCGCTGGGTCAAACGGAAGTTCCTTTTTTAATGTTT